TTGTAACCTAAAGTATTGAAACCATTTATTTTTTATGTTCAGTTTAAAGTTCTGTTAAAAATAATCAATATAATAATGATTTAGTAGCATAATACTGTGAATATCTAAAAATAGCTTATCATACCTTTATCTTTCCATTTTATACCCAATAGTAATGATAGAATATTTGTCACTGAATTTCAATGATGCTGGATTAATTAATGATTCTATTACTGCTCAAGTATGACCAAACAATGAAATGGTTTAAATACACATCAATAAAATACAATACAGCATCTAATAGTTAGATATGTAAAATGGCAAGAAAGTTACTATCCCTAAAACAAATCCTAATCAGTGATAGGTAACATCAATTTGAACATCAGACTTCTAAAACCATTTTGGAGATTCCCCATCATAGGTTTATTAGGGCTTTTTACCTACAGGTTCTGTTTCTTCTATCATTATTATCATTATTATCATTATTATTTCGTGATTTTGTGGCATCTAAATTTCTAAATTGGTAAGAAATTTGCTTATAGTATTCTAAAAGTCACTTATTATTACTTAAGAAGATACCAGTGCAAAGCAATCAGCCATTCAGGTTACAGCTGCCTCATTAGATATTCATGAAATTAGCCGATAATCAAACTTTAGAGAGTGGTTCAGGTACTAAGTCTGCTAAGCAAGTCTCATATAAAAAATTTGGATCATTACTTTGGAAGAAGTGCGGAAAGCTATCCCCAGGACTGTTTCAAGAATCAGCCAATCAGGTCATAGCAGCCTCATTAAATATATATACATTAAATAAATAACAGAATTTGCCGATAATCAAACTTGAACAAGGGGTTAAGGTAACAAGTCTACCAAGCAAGTCTCATCATAATTCATTCGTTCCTTCCAAAGATAATGTGTGGAAAGCATTCAGAGTGCGGAAAGATATCAGCCAATCAGGTCACAGCAGCCTCTTAAAATATGCATATAATATCCCAATAACTGAACCTGAACAAGGAATTATGGTAATAAGTCTACAAAGCAAGTTTCCTAAAAATCTTATCCTTTCTTCATAAGATGATGCACAGAAAGCATTCCCATAGAGTGATTAAAGAAATAAGGCAATCAGGTCACAGCAGATTTACTAAATATGCACGAAATTTGCCGTTAATCGAACTTGGTCATAGGATTATATAACAAGTGAACCAACCAAGTTTCTTTAAAATGTGCCCAGTCCTTCAAAATATATCATGGGGAAACAGTATCCGAAGGGACAGACAGATGGATGGACGGAACCCATTGAATATCCCACACCAATTTCAGATGTAGATAAACATTCAATATTTACTCAAAAGCTAGATTCTCCACATCTGTTGTTATAATTCTATCATGCCTTCTCAAAGACCAAGACAATTATTATTAAGGTCAGTAATCAGGGTTTTCCATAATTTTGTTAGTAGTAGGCTGTGTAGTGAAAGTAGGAGGCTGGCGAAGCAAGCCGACCCGAGCCGCAACGCGGCGAGGTGTGGGTGGCCTGCCGTGTACGTGTAGTGTATGGAACATTATTACGGAACTGGATTGGTGTAGGCGGCCAAATGATCAAAGAAGCCCGTCAAATTGGCCGGCGACCGGCTCTTATGGAAAATCCTGAGTAATTGAGAAAAAACAACAAGTAGTCCATATATCAACAGACAAAACTCATAGTTAAAAAAAGTTGATGATAACTGTATATGGCTGGTCAAGGGAACGTCAGCCATCAGCTGTTACAATGTACAATCTCAATAGTTACTGGTTAGAGACCAGAATGAAGTAAAACTCCTGGTAAGTGATACAGAACTTCAGCTATAAATAGAAGACACTTTGTCAACTCAAGAGGTATAAATCAGAAAAATTTGTCAGTTGATGGTGCAAAAGGGAAAAAAGATTTGCTGCTCTCACAAAAAAAATACAAGGAAAAGCATAAAGACCAACTAAAGAAGGCGTTCAAACCTTTGGTTACAAATACATTGTGGTCTCTAGAGTACACCCAAAAGCAGTTTGGTGGTGTTGTTGACAATGACCTTGAATTTCAACGCATGTGAAATGGTAAATTGGATGGGATGGATGGCTCCCCCTCCTCCCTCCACCGCCTTCTTTCTTGCAAACCATTTTGTTTAATGAGCTGATGAAAAAATGTTTTCAGACCTTCCATCCCATAATGCACCTGTGGGATCACTTGTAAGATTTCTCCAGGTACTCTTTTTACCTTCTACATTAAGACCCTTGCAATGTTTTCATCTGAGCCAACCAGGGTAATGAGCATTATAATGATGAATAATCCTGTCAAGCAAAGATTTAAACCAATTTTCTTTAAAAAAAAAACCCAATGAAATGAAGTCAGAAAGTTTTGACAGAAATGTGAAAGGTCACAGAGGAAAATGAAACACACTGGCATTTTTTAACTTTTTAATTTCATGTTTTGCATGTTCACATGTCTCTAAACACATGTGTTGACAGATTTTCCTTGGGATGAATCCAACAACATAGAAATGCATGCTATAGTATATATAAGAATTAAGTAGCTGAATAATTCAGACAGCTTATCTGTAGCCTACATTCTACTACCAGTATATTAACAACACCTAAAAGATAAGCTTACAGTCAAAGCTATCAAACCACATTGTTCCACACATGACATTATGCCACTGAAGTTTAACAGTTTACACATCAATCAGAAATGGTGTCTTACACATGTCCACTCCTGTTCTATATTTACATATAAACCAGGCAGGCCTAGAATTTAAGGCTTTTTACTGGCTATTTGCAAGTAGAAATCCAAGAATTGCAAGTAGAAAAAATAATGACTTGCTTTTTTCAGCAAGTGGATTCATCAGATACAAACTGTGAGTGCCTATCTATTCCTAACATTTCACAGAATCATACTGTTTTGATTTTCAAAGTGTAAATATTGTGATAAAGCAGTTCTTCTATAATGTTGATATATATTGGATGAAGCAAGGTAATACATTATAAATCACAAAACAAAACACATTTTTTGAACATGGAGATTTGCAATAATAGCAAGTAAAAAGTCATATTAGCAAGTACAAATTTAAGGCACTTGCTGTTTTCAGCAAGTGAAAAAAATGTTAAATTTGAGGCCTGCCAGGACTAGTGTTTATTTCTCATGTGTGTCCAATTCAAATATATTACCTTTAAATCAAGAAAAGTATCTTGAATGCATCCACTTGAGTTCTATACGTACCTATATTCCAGGACTAATGTGTCAAATGTGTCCACTCCAAATCACTAATCACCTATAACCTGAAGTGTTTCAAATATGTCCACTCCATATCTATATCTACCTATATACAGTCGAACTTCGTTAACTCGAACTCGGAAAACTCGAAGACCCCGTTTAACTCGAAGCACTTTGTCGGTCCCAAAATCTTCTCAAATCAAAACTAATCACCTGTTAACCCCAACAACAAAACATATACTGAATATGATGTTTCCGGTCAATTACATTGCTGATGCGCTACGCCGTTTTGCAATTTTACTAGGCTTTACTATTAATGAATAATACTGTAATTAACAATATTCATGTTTTAGAAAAGTGTTTATTGTTATTTAATTGAATGATAAAAGGTAACCGTTATATCTTATAATTGATAGATATCGGCGATAAAAAGTGAAGTTCTACTCACATTGCGTAATTTCCGTGTCTGTCAGCCATGTGTGTATACACTCAGTGAAGCGGAACACTAATCAATCACAACACTACTAGGCTTAATGTTTTTACAGGAGTACGCATGAAGTGTTTAAACCGACAAATGAGTGAAACAATTATTTAATTAGCGTCGAAGTACTTAGGGCAGAATATAGGAGATGTCATGAGTGTCACATATATACCAAATCATACCCGTTTCGAAATGTCGAAGTCAATTGAGCAATCCAACGAAGGACTTTATCCGGGGGGAGTGTCGATTGATAGGGCGAAGACCGGCGTGATAAATAATAAGCAAACTGCACCTAATTTAATTATCAATTCTGGTTTTTCAACGATCAAGAACAAAATATGTTTGCTTATTACCGGAATCTACATCAAGCTCGTATATAGCCAAAAAGTGACAAAAAGTACAAGGAACGTCAGGAACATTAAAAATCTTTGCACCAAAACTGTGGCTATCCACTAACTCATATTTTCTATCGACTTCGAGTTAACGAGGTTTGACTGTACCAGGACTAGTGTCTCAAATGTGCCCACTCCAAATCACTAATCACCTGTAACCTGAAGTGTTTCAAATATGTCCACTCCATATCTATATCTACCTATATTCCAGGACTAGTGTTTCAGATGTGTCCACTCCAAAACACTAATCACCTATAACCTGAAGTGTTTCAAATATGTCCACTCCATATCTATATCTACCTATATACCAGGACTAGTGTCTCAAATGTGCCCACTCCAAATCACTAATCACCTGTAACCTGAAGTGTTTCAAATGTGTCCACTCCATATCTATATCTACCTATATACCAGGACTAGTGTCTCAAATGTGTCCACTCCAAATCACTAATCACCTATAACCTGAAGTGTTTCAAATGTGTCCACTCCAAATCACTAATTACCTGTATCCTGAACTGTCTAAAATGTGTCCACTCCATATCTACTTATAGATCAGGACTAGTGTCTCAAATGTGTCCACTCCAGTTCTATGATTATTTATAAACTGTGACTAGTGTTTCAAATGTGTGTCCATTCCAGAACAGATTTGCATATAAATAAAGAACAGTATTCATTTTTTGACAAAAGTAAAACATTTTATATATTCTTATCTTAGCCTGTCATTCTTGTACGATCCCACTTAATTGTGAAAGGGGTCTTTACTGTGGAGGTAACTGGAGTACTGGAGACCTTTGTGTCAAAGAGGTGACATCATACATTTCCTTGTCCAATCAGGAACCAAAAACTCTGTGGCTTAGGTGAAACTGACTATCCAGCGCTACCCGACATTCAATAGGAGCTGTCATAGAGTGCTACTTACCTTTGTGTTTGTGAGGTGAGGGAGTTGGGAATGGGGGACTGGAGTTGACAGGCGTTGTCGTGGAACAGGTACAGGCCCTGGGTATCATAGGACCCTGCTGGACGTGACTGGTTGCCATGGCAATTGTGCTGGTGGTTGTTGTGCTTGTGCTTACACTGGCTTGAGTTTCTAAGTTTGACTGTAAACAAAAAGTTACAATGTACATTGAGAAGTAATGTGTCATATTTGTTAACAAATTTCCAACAAAATAATTTTTTTATGAAATGGTACATTAATTTTCAAATTTACCTATATACACATTGTATAGTATATATTCCTTACTTTCTCAGGCCATTCAAAACTATGTATTTAGTCAATATTCATGTTCTCAAGTAAAGCTACAGTTCTTGTTATTTTTGTAGCAATATGAATGTAGGTAACAGTCTAATTTCCATATATAATGTACTCAATAAATAGTTATATTATGAAAGTGCATGTTGTGGGAACTGGCCTATGGAATTTCATATTTTAAATTCAATGTGCAGGGTGTTAATATAATACACCATATGTCAGATACTATTATGTTTAATCCATTATCTCTGTGTAATTTTCAGTTGAATGAGATTTCCGTTTGTACTTCATATTTACAGGTCAAAAGAATTGGCTATTTATATTTCTGTACAAGTACAAAAAAAAAAATGATTCCATATGTCAAAAAGAAAAAATTCCACCCCAAATATTAACTTTTGCAATATTGAGTTCAGGATCGAAGCCAAAATGTATAAAGAAATGAAACCCAACACTAGCTAGTGCTGAATGGAAACACAATGATACATAGAGGTGTTGAATATCAACCACAAAAGCAAGCTATTCAAACATTGTCACCAACAATATAAGACATGTATGTAATAGTATGTGTTTAACCTGGCCACAAACCTCATAAATATTTGATTTACTATCCCTTGACATTCTATCTGTCACTAATATCAACATACATGTATATCCTTCAGCTTTGTTAAAAGTTCCTATCCACACCAGTATCAACATTACTATCCTTTCAATATTAAAAGTTGCTATAGACATCCCCTAACAGTAACATACTTCTATCATTCAACTGTATTAAACAGTTATTTCTTCCAAGATTTACTCCGCTGTTCCAAAATTTTGATGAGTCCCTGTACTAGGAGATAAAGTGATCATGAGGTCTTAAAATTTGACCTATTTCCACTGGAAAATCAAGAGTCAACTCAAATATCAGAGTCCCAAAAATCGAATTTTTGATCCCTATCAGTATAAATGTTGCTATCCTTCAACGTTGCTAAAGTAACTTTTCCTGGCCAGAATCAGCATACACTTCAAAAGTGTCAACATTACTATCCCCTACAAGTATAAAAGTTACTATTCCTAATCATCAGTACAACACAGTGGAATCCACTTAATGTCATGTCTGTTAATGTAACTTTCCAGTTAATATCATGCTTTCACGATACAAAGTTTTTCCCTATATATTCTATGTAATCCAATATCTGACATTGGGTTTTGAAATCCCCCCAAAAAAAAAATTGTCAACTGTTATTGTCACATTCTGCTGATCATATTTTCCCCTCACAAATGGAACATGATATTAAGTGGGTTTCACTGTATTACTATCCCCCATCAGTATAAAAGTTACTATTTCTGATATTTGTATCCTCAGTAGTATTTAAGTTACTATTCCTTGATCATGTCATGAAAAATTTCCCTGGCTTTTAATGTTAATACATTCCATGCAGTAAGATGTTAACATTAACACACCCCCGCTATTGAAATGAATCAACACAGAAAAATTTGTAGGGCTACCCACTGCCTGTCAGGCTTAAGCTTATATCATAACTATACTGCAAGAAGTTAATGTAAAGTTCTCAATCCAAACTAAGAAAAGAATGTAAAAATACTGCTTTTATTTATAATCCCAAACATCTCAGCACAACAGCTCCTATGCAGAATGATTGAAAAAACATGGATTTCCCAACATCAATTTTTGCACGAAATATCGGTGAGAGTCAAATTGCTGACTGCCTGGCGTACACATTCTTATATACGGCAAACTCATATGTATACACATTATGATACATTAATGAGAGTTGATTTTTTTGAAGTCCGCCATATATTCCAATTCTGGCTTACAATTATAAGCACCATTCATTAAACTTATTTGTCACTGAATTGAAGTGCCTACACACACATACTGCTATGTAAGTATCTAGTATTATAACAATTGATTGGTAATTATTATACAAATTATAACATAAGGAACACTTAACTACAGTCTTATACCGCTGTTTGATCATTGGTTGATATCATGATGTAAAGGTCATAGTCACATATTGATAAGGCATGTAGAGCAGCTGGTAATTAGTCTTTGTACATACATGTATATCACTTTCAATTTCGCTACAAACTTTGAATTTGTAATATCAAAACACATGGACTTCTCTTGGCATTTTTTTTTTACATTATTGTGTTTTATCTTCATATTTCATACTTGACACATGTAAGCATTGGGATGAGGTATATAATGTCATGAAGACTGGACTCATATTCCTATTTACAGGTAGTCAGTCTATTCCACGGCCAGTAACTTTTATACAAGTCACAAGACAAATAATAAGATATTTTATATATATTGTCCCATCAAAACTTAGAAAAACCACACGCTGTATGTAGGCAATGTCTTGTTATTTGCTTGCTTTTTGATAAAAATTCCAGTCATCTTGAAATGAAGATAAATCACTGATCCCTTCTTCTGTGTTTCATAAAAAATAATCAACGTTTGCACCAAATGTTTTACAATCAATTGGGTAGTAGAGAATCAACATCAACTGTCATTTGTCAGCCCAACTGCATTGCCTAAATACATTCAACTGCTTGGAATTCAGACAAATTGCAATTTACAAACAACTTATAATTACACTAAAATCACACTACAATGTGCACAAGTGTATACTGAAATACCCTTGAAATGCAACAAAATACAAAGGACCTGTATCCTCAAATCTTGACCTCATGAAATGAAAACAGAAGTCAACAGACGTACATATAAAGAATACTTGAACTTGCTAGAGCTTGGGCTTCACCAAGATTGTGCAGCACCTTCAAAACTAGGTCAAGATCAAGATGAAAATACATGTTATGTGTGGGTTTATCAAAGGTCAAATTCTTCTCGGTCAAGTGTATATAGATACACATGCATGTGGATTAACGTTCACTATGCTGTAGCTTACCAGTAAAAAGTATACATTAGTAATATTCATATACCCATTAACATATATACACACGTATAGAATTTCAAAGCATGTGACGAACTCCATCTCCTAGCACTATATCTACATTAATCTGTCAACAAATCTGTAGTCTATGAATCAAAACAGTAAACAGCTACATGTATGCAGGATTCCTTGCCAAGGCTAGTACTGGCAGATGAATTTTTAACACTGGGTGAGAGGTGTAGGAGGCCTATTACATTAACACAATGTAGGTGTTCTAAATGACAGGATTTATTTACTGTCTATCTGAACACTGAATATCAATATAAGTTCATGATATAGATCATACATATTGTAGAAAATCTGAATACTTCTCACTTGTTTTTATGTGTGAAGACAGCACAAATTAGCTGTCATTTACGTGATTACAATGTGTGTTCTATACACATGTATCTTCAAGTAGGAAAGTAGCATAATACTATATACACACCAGCCTGATGATGATATGTTAATGACATAACTTACAGTATTCTTGTGGGGGCAACAACAAGTAGTATGCACATTTCAAATTGTCAAGCCTCACAAAAAAATTTTAAGACAGTAGTTTTTGTAGATTTTTTCTGGTGAGCCCAAACCATTATTTCCAAAAATTTTATGAGTCTGTTTAAAATTTTGCTTGTAATTTTAATAAGACCAGGCACATAGAGGATTCTCAAGCGAGTCCACAGAAAAAACACAAGCCAAGGACTCAAATATCTGATTCCCAAAATCACTACCAAGATCTAGCTCTGTTACTGTATTTTCTGGGGTATAAGTCACAGCTTTTCATTCTAAGCTGTCGGGCATGTGGCTTGTACGCCAATGCAGCTTATATGTGGATCAACAAAAATGATTGTCAAAATGACAACAACAACAAAAATGAAGCGTAATCTGGACATCAGTTCCAGACCTTTATGTATTTACGAACAGCCATTTTTTCAAGGCATATCACATGCACTATTGACCTATGTGACCTCGCACCCTGATGATTGTGGTTACTGTAACACGTCATGCTTCCAGAAGAATAAAACATAGTGATTTAAACCCAGGATACCAGTACACCAGTACCAGATGTCGGTATCGAGGTTTTTTACAAGTACTTGTCCATCATGTGTTTGTGACTGAAACAGATCATCTAGAACCAGCATTTCTAACCATATACCGGATGGTATTAAGATTGAAATAAAAATAACATATCATGGATTCAATTAATAATGCATTTGAATAGGAATCACAATATCTTCTGAACTTTTGTGGTTGTTTAGAAAGTCATAGCGGAAGTTTGCAATAGCCTGTTGCATCCAGCGATCGACAGGCCCTCAGGTCAAACTCTAGAATGACCGCCATGCTTGTTTACGATAACAATGGCTTTGAGTAGCTTACAAAAAACAAGAGGCCCAGAGGACAGGTATTAATCACCTGGATCTTTATGACTAACAGTTTAGAATAATATCACTATCCTCGATGTTTTGGATAAACCTTGACTATGGGTCAAGACCATTTCTTTTTGCAAACATTCTTGGACTTAATAAAAGGAACATACTGGCCAAATATAATGATTCTAGGCTTTTCGATATTTCAGAAGAAATTGTTTAAACGTTTTAATATATTTGACCCCTATGACCTGGAAGATTGGTCAAGGTCATTTCTTTTAGCAAACTTTGTAGGACACCATAAGAGGAACAAAGTAGCCTAGTATAATTATTCTAGGCCTTCCGGTATTTGGAAAGTTGTTTAAAGGTTTTAACACATTTGACCTCTGTGACCTTGAATATAGGTCAAGGTAATTTCTTTTCGCAATTTTGTTAAGCTTTATCAAAGGAACCTTCCAGTCAGATACAATGATTCTAGGCCTTGCGGTACTTTTGAAAAAGACGTTTAAAGGTTTTAACACATTTGACCTCTGTGACCTTGAATATGGGTCAAGGATATTTTTTTTCGCAAACTTTGTTTGGCTTCATCAAAGGAAACTTCCAGCCATATATGATGATTCTTGGTTGATTGATAGCTCCAAAGCTAAATGAGTATGATAAAAGTAATTTTACTTTTTTGAAATGTCAATGAAAGGATTATATGTGTGTAATTCATTTGCAAACATATATTAAATGTTTCACTAATGATCTGTTATATCAACAAACTTTGGTCAACTTAATGGTTACCACATCGTAAGAAAGAGGGTGGCTTGTAGCATGGTGCGTCTTATATATGGATCAAATCAGAAAAAAAATCACTAAAAACCATTCCTGCCGTTTATACTCGGGTGCGGCTTACAGGCCAGAAAATGTGGTAGTTAGTACATAAACATACATAAACTCAGATGAAGGGCCAAGGTGTGTGGTTCAATGCTTCCAATCCGTGGACATTGGAAGCTGAGAAACTGACCGGACTGTGCTGATGTTGTCCTTGGGAGAGACACTAAAACCTTATATAATGCATCGAATGGCATGCAACAGGCTTCCCACATGTTGTTCAGTGAGGTGGCCATTCACCTGCTACTACAGAGGCTTTACCTCAAAATAACCACGACTGCTTGTTGGGTGTTAAACTCCACTTCACCAGCTACTACAGAAGCTCTACCTCAAAATAACCACGACTGCTTGTTGGGTGTTAAACTCCACTAACAAAACAAGAACCATACTGTGTCCTTTACATTTGGACTAACATGAACGAATCTGAACTATCAAGCAAACAGAACAAGGTGCACTTTGTAAGTACGTCATACATGCATTATATCGAAGTGTGATTCATTGATAAGTATGTACATGGAGATTGCTTGTGCACATCATTGTTTTAAATTGGAGCTGTACCAAGTGTCAAAAACATTTATTTCAAATATATTTCATCACTTAAAAAAGATAGTGATTTTTGGAACTCAGATTAGAAGAGTCTGGACCTACCCCTCTTGGGCTCACACAAGTTTTAAGAACCCCCTGGTGTATTGGGACTCATGAAAATTTTTAAACTAGTGCCCTGGACTTCCTTAAAATATTACCACAAAAATTAAATATATACATAATTCCTCTGAGAAGCTGTTGAAGTTAATCATTGGTTATCAATTATACTATTGCCTTAGAAGTTGAAAAATGGCAAAATCACAAGTTGAAAAATGTGTTTATATTGATGATGTGTAGCTCATATACTTTGCTAAAAATAACTGAACTTACACATCTTTAATTTCATATTGCTCAATTGCAAAACATGTTTGTTTTTAAGGCAATACTCAGATCCAGTAAAGTCACATTGCTATTATCTACCCTGGTCTCATGCTGTTGTCTCACACCAATAAAACATTAATTACACTGCAAAAAGGAATTTCCATAGGATGGTTACAAGACCTGAAAAATGTTTGCAATTTGTTGTAACTTTGTTGACATTTCCACTACCATACATACTGCAACACTTGAATCACTTTACTTCCTATTCTAATGTACAGTGTAGAACATGTACAATTCATTATCACAAAGTTATTTAACATATTATCATATTATGACAAAAGTTCTCGATATCTGAAAATAGTTGATACTGGTTTTGTTTTCTTATATAGGTAGACACATGTAACTAAACTTCCCATTACAATGTTGAAACAGAAACCAAAAGTAAAATAGACAGTCAGATTTCTAAGAAATAAATATTTGCATAGATACTAGATTATTGTTGACAACATTTACATCCATATATGGACAGAAATGAATTCCATAAAAATGAATAATTTAGAAATTGTCCATTATGTCCAAAACAAAAAATTTACAGATTTGAATTTGGACTCTAGTATCCCATATACAATCAACGTGATGCTGCACCTTTTTTCGACACTATATTTTCTTTTCTAACTTGTAATCTTTTTCTGTAATTACTTCAATATGTACAGTGATTTCAGCTGTCTGAGGCATGAATCCTGTCCAAGGTATCATTGGTCACATTATGTCAATCAAGTCAAGGCATCCTTCCTCGCCTTGGCCTTTGGTTAGTCAGGTAAAATTGTTATGTATGTGATTTTAGTTTTTATGGATTTAATTGAAATTCTTTTTCAGTTTTTGTATCTTCTACCCTGAAATAACACGGCCCAAACGACTATTATACTGAAAACCTAACTGTAATTTTCCAACCAATAATAGTAACAAAAAAACAAAAACATTTTTTCTAATGAATTTGTAAGTGATAATGCAGCCATCTTTTCTGTTCAAGTCAGTAAATAAACAAAGAAGTGGAAATATGAAACACAGGAATGCTGCAATGCTCTTGTTTGTAACACACAACAAATTACAGATTCAGTGACATTTCATAATTAGGATCGAAGCAATCAAGCGAATTGTTAATACATCACATTTTTGATTAGATGTTTTGTGCTGAGTGAATGGTGTCGTGTTTTTTATACTAATTTACATGACAGTGTTTACATCTTGGCATCAAAACTGGAATAGCAGATTATGTGGAACTGTATGATAATGTTTATAGTGAAATAGGGTGGCATGTGGAACTTAATTGATTTCCTCTGCCAACTTGCAAAGACAGTGTGGCGAACGATCACGACTGACCTACTTCAACTTACCGTCAGTAAGACATTTTGCCTTTCATTATGATCGCCGATGACAGTCTTTTGATAAAATGTAAAAGCTGGATGGTTTTTAGCCATCATAAGCACCAATAAAATTACATCTCGAGTTGCGGAATCTGTAGCCCAAGTTACATCGAAAGCACTTTTCAAGTTGCTGGTTAAAATTTCGAAGATGATGTTTGCACAACTTGCATTCCACGAGTGTAACAGGGCAAGGCTCAGAGCCATGCTTTTAGCAAGTGCATGCGGATCGTTATGTTTAATTTCACTAAGTTTCTCCTGACTGTTTGCTCTGATTTCATGTTCTCGTAAAAAGTGATAATCTTTTTTCGCTAGATCCTCGACCACAGAGCCTATGAATCTCAACTCGGGGGGCAAGCACATACGTAGCATTCCGCACATGATATCTATCCTTTTATGAGGACTTAGACTCCCGAATTTTCCACATAATTCCTCGAATTCTTTACAAACCATGATATAGCTCGGATACCACTTTCCACGTCAGGAAAGTAGCTAAAATTCTAAAAGATCGGGCTCAGAAAATCCATCCGCCATCTATAATTTCTTCACGACATAGGTAAATGTATAGTTGTATCCGGGCATTTTGCATAATCATCCAATCAAAAAGAGGACATGACATCCATGCACTGCCGTCGTGATTGTCATTTGGACGTCTATATTCAACACTTTTCCTTTTAGCTATTATCTTGTATCAGTGCGCACACATCGATAATTGGATCGTGTCACACTCAGCTTTAATTCTTAAAATTTGCTGAAGTCAGCCGAGCACTAGGACAATATATGCGTGATGCACTCGTGTATTATTTTAGATTCGACTAACAAATATTACTGAAAAATGAAAAAAAAATAGACAAGCCTATCAAATAGGTTAATATTTGTTCTTCATCATTTTCGAAATGAATAATTACAAATATTTTCTTATACATATCTATATATGTGTATGCTGATCTATTTTCAAATAAATACATGTTTGTTTTCAGTTGAATTAAATGTTGACATGCATTTGACGTCATAATTTAGGACCGCATGGCACCTGTCTATCACTCATGTGTTAGGCGTGCAATAACTTCATAACTTTTTTATTATAATACATATAAAACGATAAACAGTTATTTAAATATGACGGAGTAGATTCTTTATGATACTAGATAGACAACCAGAAGAAAAAAATATTTGAGTGTTTCTTTTTTTCAACATTTTTTTGGGAACAAAATCTCACTCTAGCTTGCTCCACTTTGTTTCATTTCATCTACATGTATTAAAACCCGTTCCTGTGAAGGAAAGATGAGTTTGATCACGCGAGCTTTAGCTTTCGTTTACTAGCGTTCTGTTATTCGACAGTCAAGCCTTGCATTCTTCTATGCAGTGACTGGTGTATTGATCTATTTTCTCCATCAATTAAAACGGCAATATTTGGTCTTTGACTATTGACAACTCTGTTACACATTATACCGCTTTCCCTTTCATTACACAGATATTCGTGCACTTGAAGATGAAACATCTACAGTGGCGTAGCGAGGCCTTCATTCAATTGCATGCTTGGGGGTGCAGGGGCGGCAGCTGAAGGTATTTTGATTACAGCATTGTAATCATTCGAAATTATTAAAAAGACCAGCATATATAAAGATTATAAAGATTTTAATCTCACTTGGAAAGTTTCCGGAATATATCGTCGCAACGGTATATAAAACAAATCGCGAGAAAAGAATCATGCACATTATGGAAATAGATTAATAAACAAGAAAAAGAAAACATGTTTTCTCGAATTTTATTCTTGCATGCTTGAGCATGCAAGCATGCACGGACGCTACGCCACTGATCTATAAACCTTTTTTGAACTTTTATTTTTCGAAATTTTTAAACACATCATCATCACTATCATCATCATCTATAGAAAAACAGAGAGTTACGTTATATATATCCCAACAGGATATTAACGTCATACTGCATTAGCTGTAATGTAAAATATAAGTTTAGTCACCTCACTCGATCATTCTTTTAGATGTTAGCTCCCCTGAATACCGAAGATCTCCAATACGTCAGCCATGATGCATCGCTGTAGAATTTATCTGATTGCACCATTCTAATAGTTTTAAATCTGTTCTGTGACATTACGATTCGATTTTATATATCCCCATCAGTATACCAAGACAGACAGCCAGTACTGTATTATACGGTATTAACATATATGTTTAAAAACAAATCCGTCGCGTAACGTGTAACTGATTTTAGACACTTCAATTTTGCATTGCTATTGGCCATTAGGATCATTGTACGATAAAGATCCATCAGGCCAGACTGTAGCTCATAATCGAAGTGATTCGAATTTACAAACTTCCGAAATAAGAAAAAAAGAAGATTATTTAAAATGAAATAGGAACGTCTTTTAGTGAAATTGGGGCACATTTAGAACACGAGATCTTCAAGTTATTGCAATATATCTTAAAATATCCATACCTTAATATATCAAACATCGATATTTGACACATTCTATCTGAAGATATAGACTTTAAAACACCACATTATACAAGACATTCTCAGTGCATTTGAGTTTAATTATGTATCAAAATTTAAGTATACCGTTTATTTTCATGTAATACAAGTCATATTTACCAAATTTCCGATTGACTGTTAGCAAAAGCATTAAACTGTGTGTGTGTGTGTGTGTTTGCATCATATGCGTTTTATTTCATCAAATTTATCGGCTAAGGATTAATGGCGAAGAGGAAATAAATTGTTGTGCATGGCAAGTCAGGTTGTAATTCATTCACGAAACAATGCCGTCGATCAAATAAAACAACGTTTAATTTTCTCAATAAAATATCTAATAAGTTATTTTGGCTACAACACACTGACGTGGTCTACACCTGTACAACAGTCTGACGTGGTCTACACCTGTACAACAGTCTGACGTAGTCTACACCTGTACAACAGTCTGACGTGGTCTACACCTGTACAACAGTCTGACGTAGTCTACACCTGTACAACAGTCTGACGTAGTCTACACCTGCACAACAGTCTGACGTGGTCTACACCTGTACAACAGTCTGACGTAGTCTACACCTGTAAAACAGTCTGACGTAGCCTACACCTGTACAACAGCCTGACGTGGTCTACACCTGTACAACAGTCTGACGTAGTCTACACCTGTACAACAGTCTGACGTAGTCTACACCTGATCAACAGTCTGATGTAGTCTACACCTGATCAACAGTCTGACGTAGTCTATACCTGTACAACAGACTGACGTAGTATACACCTGTACAACAGCCTGGCATAGTCTACACCTGTACAACAGTCTGACATAGTCTACACCTGTACAACAGTCTGACGTAGTCTACACCTGTACAACAGTCTGACGTGGTCTACACCTGTACAACAGTCTGACGTGGTCTACACCTGTACAACAGTCTGACGTGGTCTACACCTGTACAACAGTCTGACGTAGTTTACACCTGTACAACAGTCTGACGTGGTCTACACCTGTACAACAGTCTGACGTTTTCTACACCTGTACAACAGTCTGACGTAGTCTACACCTGTAAAACAGTCTGACGTAGTCTACACCTGTACAACAGTCTGACGTTGTCTACACCTGTACAGCAGTCCGACGTAGTCTACACCTGTACAACAGTCTGACGTGGTCTACACCTGTACAACAGTCTGACGTGGTCTATACCTGTACAACAGTCTGACGTATTTTACACCTGTACAACAGTCTGACGTGGTCTACACCTGTACAACAGTCTGATGTAGTCTACACCTGTACAACAGTCTGACGTGGTCTACACCTGTACAGCAGTCTGACGTAGTTTATATATGTACAACAGTCTGACCCTGTATATACCTGACGCCTGATTCTACACCAGTACAACAGTCTGAAGTAGTCTATATTTGTACAATAGTCAGTCTGACGCCTAGATATACACCTTTACAACATTCTGATGTGGTCTTCCTATATATGCAAAAGTGGACATAGTTATTCCTGTACAAAAGTTTGACATATTGTACACCTGTACTATAGTTTGACGTACTACACCGTGACGGTCAGTGTGTACCTTCAGGAACGTTACGTCAGAAAAAAAATTCTTGTTGACCGTTCCCCATTGTCCCACCCACATGAAGCTGTAGTTTTACACGTACTGTCTGATTTTGAAATCGCATCACGTATGGCAATCACTTAAAATGTTTTCTGTTCCAAGTGTAAATATGAAAGTGAGACGTAGAGGATAGTTGTGTGTGGTAAAAGTTTGAAACAAACTAAATAAATAAAATCCGTCATCCCCTATTTCAGAAATGTCTTCATCTGTCTCTAATTTTCGTTGGTTCCCGATTGAAGTCTTAATAAATTGGGCTGTGTTGGAGTTATGTCTACGTTTTGTGACGAGGTATCCTTAAAACTAATGTGAGGGGAAAGTTAGTAAAATGTGACCAGTAGATATGGGTTTTCACAGAACTGTAAATATTAAGAAATATAAAATCATCTTGAAACACACATAAAATAATGATGAATATCTTCTTCAGTTGTGTTCTTTTATTAATCACTGTAAATAATGTACACGAAAATTTTATCTTTTATTTTTGAAATATTTCGGTGGAGCATCACCGATGATAAAATCATCAATCAGCATCACAAAAACGTTTGAAATGGTTGTGTCCTGGGACAACGAAAATACAAACGCCAAATTGACATTGAGAAATAACCATGCGGCTATTGCTAAAATTCGCGAAATACGTATAGCTAATTCCAATCTAACAAAATGGGCAAGAAAAATAAGAAAGATAAGAAAGGGAAAGGAAAAGAGAAGACTGCGTTGAAGACAGAAAGAAATGCTGAAAAACGGGCGAAAAAAGAACTCGCAGAAAAGGGAGAGGTACGTAAACGCCGTAGATCGGATCATATACTGTACACTTATATATCATCAACTAAATGTTCTATGTTGTTTTTTTCACTTTATGATAGACACCAGCATATCTCTTATGACTTCTCGATTTGTATTTGAAGTGGTTACATATATTACTTGTTGGGTTGTAAATGCAGGTTTAGTTTCGTTGTTCAGTGTTCAGAATAATCCAATAATGAGTGTTCGTGGCAGTATTAAATTACCCGAAGTAAATCGACACTTCTCTGTTTCATGTGAATAGAAAACGGTTTGACGGGCATATGTCACATACAGATTTTTTTATGTGGTCACTACCTATATGATGCTTGAGTTTGTCATTTCTTTTTTCCCGTTTAATCATCTTCATATATGTTCTATGAATGTACCACAATATCATTAGGTTCTTACTATCTTCCATGATTTAAATCTTTGTCTTGTCTTGCCTGTCTGCTATTTTATTTCTGTCTTGATCACAACTCTCTATCCACGATTTTATGTTCATAGCACCAAATCTGCAGCTCCCTGGAAATAGTAATGAAAAACACCCTTACTCTGGCTTGGTTCAAACTAGTGACCCTGTAATCTCTAGTCTAGCACTGTACTGCTTGAATAAAGGGAAATTCCCACCAGCCGAAGCTACATGTAGTAAGGCGACATGTAATCTCAATTCGTACATAGTCTTGGTCACAACCAAGACAAAAATGAAATTTTAGATAGATAGTCCGATTTATTATGAAGCATTATTTTGCTGACTGCAACAAGTCACCTGTCATAACATTTTCATATTTTTTAAGTAGGGATGTACTTGATCCTTTACTTGGATTAAAGTCCATCTAAACACCCATGTATTTGTTCAATTGACTTCCTGTGAAATGGTCTCAGTTCTCTTTAAGTAGGTGAAAAGGCTTTTAATGATTTTCACACAGGTAACCTATAAGTTTTCTATTTTAGGATGACATTGAGAAGCTAATAGCAGAGTTTCAAAACAAAGACAAGAAAAGAGTGCAAGTGGTTGAGGAAAAATGTGATCCCCCATCACCAAGGTTTGTATGAGTAGATATGAGATACTGTGACACTTGTATTACTGATAACATATCATTGCTTCACACAAAAATTGTATAAATTGTAGAGATTTGTGCCTATCAACTAACAATATGATGTTGCTGATATGTCTGTGTTTCCCACCCTATTTACAGAGCTATGATTGGTTGTAGGTTTTCTTTCTTATTGTATTACGACTTCTTTACAATACTGACATGTAATTGCTTGTGATATCAATAAAGAAAACAACTTTGTGGCAAATTTCAAATTGTAAATACAATAGTATTTAACATTCCATGTCAGATTTAGAAAACGCCATGTTGGAGATCAGCATAGTCAACAGTAAAAGTGAGTGTTGAGGGGCTTCAACTGATTCTTAGTCTTACAACATTTTACAAGAAAAAGAACTGATCATGATTTCCTCACACCCAGAAATAAAATTACAAAAAAGGCTAACACTGCCCTGTTTTTATGTGATTCAGAAAATTTCTTTCAAATTTTCCATTTGATAATTATGTAGATATAACACTTAAACATAGTTCAATAGAGTGGTATCTAATGTAACAGAGGTCATTATTTATTTCAGAGTTATCGATAGGAATCGAACCCAGGACCCCTGGCTTACTAGTCTGACGCTCAACCGATCGAGCTAAAGAGAAATTCTCTCTAGCAGAACGGTATGTTGCGGCTAGTATTTGCCAGGGTTACACAATTAACAAATAAAAATGAATAAAGGTTTGTCCCACTGAAAATACAAATGAATGTTATATGACATTCAAATGATCGCCACAAAAAACAACGTGATCAATCTTTACAGGTAACATATGATGTTGCATTTGCTGCATGCTTTACAGGATGTCTTATCAGAGATAGAATGCAGGGGTAAAGTCACTGGAGGGCTCGCTGCATAGTCTGAACATGACATATACAAATTCGTAGTAAATACCGTCCTATATAGAAAAGTCTGAAGGATTTTCAGACTTGGGTTCGGCAACTATTGTATTTGGAGGCACATTTACAAAGAGTGAATTTTGACTGCTTTTATATAATACAAATGCATGATCATGAGTATTTCTCAAATAAGTTACTGTTGATATAAATAGATTATTTTGATTTTTGAGTGAAATTTGCAACATAAATGCAACAAAAAACTTTTTTTTCGTTGTAAGTCTGAAATATATTTTTTTTCACAGATGCAATATGACATTGTCCTCACATCCTACCAAAGAGGAGTTGATCATGTTTGGTGGAGAGTACTGCACTGGCAATAAGGTAAATACATTTTTATCAATCAATATACATAATGTCTGTGTGTATATATTAGTCGTTATGTTTGCACTACCAAGCCCTACATAGTACAGTGCTTAGTATGTTTGCCTGTGTGTATTAGCTACTCGGTGAAGAAATAATTTTCCTGAAATCAGCAAGTTTTCAATACTGACAATGTTTTAGTTAAATTAAGTGAAAAGCAGATGAATGTTTTTGAAATGTAATACTTTTCAATAGCAGGAAGTGCCAGTTAGGTGAAATTGTAAAAAAAAGACAACAGACTTTTGAAACTTGTTGCTTCTTAATCTACCAGGAATTATTTTGGGTGTATGTAATATGTACTACAATGTCAGCTTGATGGTTCACAGACTTACATGTACAACGACCTGTTTTTCTACAATATCAAAAAGAAGGAGTGGACTAAGGTCACTGCCCCAAATGCTCCAACACCAAGAAGTTCACATCAGGTATGTATATTGGACCCTTATTCTCACAAGCATAAGCTATCTATACACTCCCACAAGGTATGTTTACACTACTACTCTACTTGGTCGGGTGGCGCAGTGGTATTGACTAACCTTTCACTCAGCCGTTCGGGGTTTTGATTCCAGGAAGGAATGTGAAAAGGTATGGGTCACCTGCCTGACCATGGGGGTTTTCCCTGGTTACTCTAATTCCTCCAACAGTAAGACACCTAATGCTCTTCTATCCGGGCCAACAAGAGTTATTAAGATAAGCTGATAGCTTGTTTTGCAATTGTTGAAAAATAGATAAAGATTGTATTATCATACTACTCTACGCCTTCTCCAAAAAGAGGTGAAAAGTCACAAATGGGTTGATTTCATCGCTGTTAAAGGAAACAAATCTGGAGCTCCTGTCAGTTTACACATCTCTATCAACATCAATACTCTGTAACTTCCTGGGAAAACATATGGAGATGTGAAATTTACAAAACTGTCATTCATCAATACACATATTCATAAAGTTAACTATAGATTAATACAGCAAAGCAATGTAGAACAATTTCCACAGATTCTGTAGCAAAAATGTCACTATTGTACATACTTCATATCAAGCTATTATATAATGTGATATACATGCTTGTTTTTGGATTTTTTTGATTAAGGTGACATGTAAATTTTGACCTTGGTGTTCTGTTGTTGTAGGCAATAACCTTAAAACAAGGAGGAGGACAGCTTTGGATATTTGGAGGGGAATTCGCCAGCCCTACACAGTCACAATTCTACCACTACAAGGAACTCTGGGTCTACCACATCAAAGAAAAGGCATGGGAAAAAATTAGGTATGTTAGGAGAAGGTCATTCCTCTCTATTAGGTAGGTTAGGGCAAGGTCATTACTCTTAAAGGTTAGTAAAGGAATAGGGCAAGGTCATTACTCTTAAAGGTTAGTAAAGGAATAGATAAATTTAAGTTACAGCTCTTAAGCACAATAATATTTCATTTGAATTTCAATGTTAATGTTGAGTTGAAATACATAAAATGTGAAAACGTGCTTATTTATATACACTAAATTTGATTATTGGGTGGTCGGGTAGTGCAGTGGTAATACACTTGTCTTTCATTTAGCTGTCCAGAACGGATGTGAAAAAGTAAGGAGTCACCTGCCGGACTAAGAGGGTTTTCCTGGGGACTCCAGTTTCCTCCCACATTAAAACCCTTTGCACACTTACATCCGAGCCAACAAGAATGATTAGAACCAGTTGAAATAATATGTTATACAACTGTTGTAAAATAAATAACGTTTATATCTTTATATTTAATTATATGAGTAAGTAGCACTTTCCTTTAATAATGGTTGTGACTTGACCAAGATGACTTGATATTCTCACTTCTTGTCTAATGTATGTACATCAAATCTATGGTGTTGATTATAATTGTGGGTTTTGATGTCATGTCCTATGTTTTATTTTCATGCAGACATTGATTTTGGTGTTACAGTGCCCCAGGGGCTCCTGCTAGTAGAAGTGGACACCGAATGGTTCATTGTAAAAAACACATTATTGTGTTTGGTGGTTTCCATGACAATATCAGGTAAAAGTCTTATTATATTAAAGTTAAAGTAGTGTGATGTGTATTTCAGTTTAAGTGTTTACAAAAAGTTTAATTGAAATGAGTATGTTTACTGTTGAAAATACCATTTCAATAACATTTTTATTTATCAAAAAATTTGAAGGGACATACTAACGGTATGGAGTTGTTCATCTATATGTCTGTCCGTCATAAACTTTTACTTTTTAAAGTTTTTAACTAACCTCTTGTCAAATCCTGACTGCCAATTTGAGCTCCATAACAGTTTTGGAAGAAGGGAGATCACTCTATATCTAACATTTCTCACATTGGCTCACATGATATGAGGGAGACTAGTATAGTAGAATCTTTCATTTTTTAGGTTACAAAGATTGGTACCGGTATTGTATTTCAAATGTTGTACAATATAAAAGTTGGGTTTTTCTTAACAGCATTTTGATTCAAATATTTTTGTTTCTGGTCTTTGTGTTTTTTCATAATCTGAATCTTGTCCTGAGATCTCTGCCAACAGTTTCAATCAGTTTCTTTCAAAATTGGTAGGAATGATAACAATAACATGATTTCGTAAACAGCTGCTGGGTTCATCAATTTTTGTAGAAGTAATTATGCTTTGTTTTTTTTAGCATTTAAATCTTGTCTTGAAATTTTCTTTCTTAGTTTTTAACCATTTTCTTTGAAAATCAGAAGGGTTTAATGATTATATGAAGTTGTGTTTTCCTGAATGGCCTTTATATTCAACAGTCTTTTAAGGTAATAAAAGAGATAGTACAGTTTTGAATAGATGACAGAAGGGGTATGGCCCAATAGGAGAAATAAAGGAAAATGTATAAAGTCTTTCTCACTTCATGTATATCAACAGAATATTCATCAAATTTTGTGCAGAAAATCGGTGATTCAGTTTTTTTATAAAGACTGAGATGAGTTGCTAAAGTTGTATTTCAACCAAATTTTCAAAATGATGAATTAAAAAATCATCAATTAATTTCAGATAATGTATAGTTAATAATCTACATGTATTATTATTTAAGATGAGTGATACACAGGCCCACTGGACCATTTGTTTCTTGTGAATACTTCAATAAAGATCACTTCTTTGGATTACATTGTGTTACTTTTTCTACAGAGATTATAAGTACTACAATGATGTGTATGCGTTTGACCTGGAGAATTACTCTTGGAACAAGCTGGAACCCTCAGGAGCCCCACCAGCCCCAAGGTCAGGATGTATGATGGCTGCCATTCCTGATCAAAACAAGGTCATCATCTATGGAGGGTACAGCAAGGAGAAAGTCAAGCGTGACGCTGACAAGGGCACAGTTCACACAGACATGGTTATGCTGACCACTGAAGGTCAGTTAACATAGGTCACACAATTTTTGAGAGAGATGTTTGTATATGAGATAGGGAACACTATGTACAATAAATTTTGAATTGATTGAATTTAACACAAACAAACATGCATACATACAAATTATTTCTGGATTATATCTATAGAATACAGATGATTGTCAGTAAAGAATCAGTTATGAACTTTTGTCGCAGGTAAAGTAAAAGATGAGAATGCACCTCTGAAATGGAAATGGGTCCACATGAAACAGTCTGGTACCAAACCCTCACCCAGGTGTGGTGTATCACTGGCTCTTACTCCTGGTAATAGAGCTGTCTGCTTTGGAGGCGTGTATGACCAGGTATCAGTATAACAATATTGTGTGGTTTATTTTTGGTATAACTGATGAAACTTTATAGATTTCTGTACCTGTTCGACTGGAAGATTCTGGGCGATGGTAGACTTTATCTCCCTGTAGTTGAACGTTCTATCTGACATACTGTTTTGGAAAGCTATAGTAATATTGTAAGTATAGGTTCTTAAGGTTTTACATGTAAGATTTTTAAGTCTTGGAAGTTTTTAGGTTACCTGAAAAAAAGTCTCAGGGTGACCTATTGCGATTCCCTTTTGTCCGACTTCGTTCATTGTGAATCATAAACTTTTCAGAATTTCAACTTTTTTGGGAGAATCCTGAACCAATTTCAATGAAAGTTTTCAAAAACCTTCCATGGCTAAAGGCACACTACAATTGTACATTATATGGTCCCCAACCCTCAGTGGCCTGAGGAGCGGGGTCAAACATGGGTCAAATTCATTGAAACTTCAAAAATCAATACCCAGATATTGTAGAATCTAGTACTCTTCATGGATGGAAAGGCTTTCTGATGGTTTATCAAAATTGTAAATTTCATGACCCGAGGGTCTCGCATATCCCCTAGGAGAGGGGGCAATTTATGATATTATATATAGAAAAATTACATTTTTGAGAATAATTTGTTTATTTTCTTTCAGAAATAGTTCAAACTGGGTTAGAATTCTCTTTTTTTTCATTAGTATAAGCTGACAGTTTGATTAGATGCACATGTTGTCCATGAATAACTCCCCCAGGGGCTGATAGGTGGGGACAAAAATTGGTCAAATTGACTGAAATTTCAAAGATTTTCTGCTGTTTGATGGAAGATTTTATATAGGAAAATTCAAATCTTGAGTGTAATTTCTTTTAATTCAAACTTGGTTAGAAGCGTTAGCATTGGACAACCCTTAATGTTATGCACAGTTTTGCATCATGTACAATATACAAAATAATCTCTCGCATGACATGTTACAAGGATAATTGTCACTCAGGTGACCATTAAGGCTCTTGGACCTCTTGTATTTTTTGTTAGCCTTGACGCGCAAATATTAAAACTTCAAATGAATTTTATCATATTGCATATGATATGGAAACAAGATACTGGTAGTGCTTTATCACATAACTCAGAAAATTAACTTTTTGAAAAGTTTTAAAGTTGAAATGTGGACAAAAAAGTCCAATGGATGCAGTAATTTCATTTCAACAGTTTCAGTCCATGATGTAACATTGTCTATATTATGACATCACAACTGCCTTCTACTTAGCACATCCAATAAAAAACACTCCAGGGTATATTACTCTAGTGACATATCAAAAATATTACAAGGACAAATTCAGTGGATAGGAAGTCGATAATGTGATTGGGTACATAAAGGCAGCCAAAAATGTTTCACCCACCTGTGAATATTATGTAGGACACCCATGTGGGATAATGGATATTCTACTCTCAGGTATAGAGTGTGGGTTGAAAACCTTGGCAAAGCCATTGATCTGAACCTGAATTTTATAACCTTGATAGAATATCTGTATCTCGCATGCAAACATGCTGTTAATTCTTATAGTTTCACATGGTACACTCAGTGATATACACTTAGGTGACATTACTTGTCTGTTCATTGATATCTTGTCAACAGACACAGACTTTGTCTAATTGACAAAGTAGAGATATTGCATTGTTCTTTAGATATGAAGTCTATCCTATTTTTTCTGTTCTTTCCAAATATGACTTTCATTTATAAGTATAGAATACATGTGGTTAAGAAATTTACTGTATTTTAGTAATGTTTATGAAATATCTAGGTAAAAAAAAATGATGAAACATGATTTACTATTTTTGAATGGGAAAATATCTTTAAAAGCTCTGTTATGTAATTGGTACATTCTAGTGTTTGTCATGAGAGATAAAACTGCTTTAACCTTGCATTCAAAAATTATGTGCCATTGATAATGAAGACTTTATACACTGACTTCATCGTTATGATTTGGAGTATTTGAGGGCTCTCACACCCCATTTTGGGAAAAATAGCTGTGTTTTCCTTAGAATTGGGAAAACTTGGAGTCTAAATTGGGAAAAAAAGATACTATTTTACATTGGGAATTCGGCCCCAAATCTGGCAGATTGAGAGCCCTGTATCTAACAGTAAGGAAGGTTTTTAGCAGAATAATCAGTCAACTCTTTATGATGTAGACTGTAAAATCTAAAAGATGTAAAAGACTTGAAGCATGAATTACCATTACTTGTGGAAAAGATAAAAATCTACATGTATATGTTTCCTTAGGTGGAGGATGAAGAAGACCTGGACAGTTTGTTTTTTAATGAAATGTACACATTGGATCTGGAGAGGGGCAAGTGGTTCCCCCTCACTCTCAGGTATAATCAGATTGGTCAAACTTAAGTGTTCTTGAGGTTTTCCTGACCCTAAGTGTGTTCTGATTGGTCAGACTTTAGGTTCCCGTTAACCATATATGTATTCTTATCAATCAAAGTTTCAAGATGTCAGCTGGCTTGTTCTGATAGGTAAAACTAATGTGGTCAAGTGGTCTGTTCTGATTGGTCAAAATGAACATGTATTCTTTAGAGTTCAATTTGTTAAATATAAACTTTAAATATAAACTTTATTTTACAACAAATGCAAAACTAGGTATTTCAACATATGCTTATCACTCTTGTTGGCCTGGATGTAAGCGCACGAGGGGTCTTATTGTGGGAGGAAACCGGAGTACCCGGGGAAAACCCACGTGGTCAGGCAGGTGAGCCTTTACCTTTTCACGTCCGTCCCGGGAATTGAACCCTAGACGGCTAGGTGAAAGGGGAGGGTGTTACCACTGTGCCACCTGACCACCCCATTCCAATTTGTTAGTTTCATGGAACCTTTTGTTAAACATATCCATATAAAGCTACTGTTAGTTCAGGCACAAAAGAACATCTTCATTATGGAAAACCTCTATATCTTGAATGATAATAATTTTTCAGAGGCAAGAAATCTGTTAATACTGAAAAGAGGAAAAGGAGAAAGAAAAAAGAAGAAGGACAGGATGATGGAAGTGATGAAGAGGAAGATGATGAGGAGGATAATGACATGGAAGATGAGGATGTGGAGGAAGCAGAAGAAGATATAAAAAAATTAAAACTTGATCTTGAGACAGATGTTCAAAGTCAGGACACAAACTGTAGTACAAGTAGTCAAGACATTGACCAGGGGTTGGGTCAAAGGTTAGGTCAAGGGTCAGGTGAGGGTGAAGAAGACATCTTCAAGGTGACGATGGGTCCGAAGCCTGCTGGACAGACAGAAGACATGGAGGAGGAGTCTATGGATGTGGAGGTTTTTATGCCAACACCAAGGATGGGTGCTCTAATGACAGTACGAGGTGGGGAGTTGTTTCTGTATGGAGGACTGTGTGAGGTGGGAGACAGACAGATCACATTCTCTGACTTTTACTCTCTAGATCTACATAAACTGGACGACTGGACAGTACTTATACAGAACAAACAGACACTGGTAGGTTTATCTACTGTCAACCAGATGTGACAGTTTTTATGAACTTATGTGTAGATTCAGAACATATTTACAAGTAAAAACATATAGCTTTATATATATTTTGATAAAAGTTGTTTGTTGATGGAGATAAGAAAGCTACATTTTGTAAGGAAGAAAAAACTACAGTGTGTTAGAGAGTGAAAGTTACTGTGTGTTAGAGAGTTAAAACTACAGTGTGTTAGAGAGTGAAAGCTGTTGTGTTAGAGAGAGAAAGTTACAGTGTGTTAGAGAGTTAAAACTACACTGTTTTAGAAATCATTGATAAAGAAATTTTTTTCTGTGTTAGGATTGGGACGAGTCTGACTCGGATGATGATGAGACTAAAGGAGCAAGCGGAGGCAAGGAAGAAGAAGATGATGATGATGATGATGATGATGATGAAGGTAAAACATATCAGTGAACACGAAGAAGAGACATTTAATGTATTTCATTGTATTGATTTATCATTAACGGTAAAGAAATCATGATTTTATGTCAACTTATCAACATCATATCTGATATATTTGTATTGATTGTAGATGATTCAGATGAAGACATTGCAGCAATATTGGAAGGATGTGATGTACCAGAAAGGTTAGAGGAAGAGGAAGTGATGACATATTTTGAGAGAACTAAGGAATTCTGGGAAACACAGTCACAGAAATATTTCAAAAAAGAAGATCTCAAAGTGACTAAAAGAACAATTACAAAGTTTGCTAAAGAATTGTGCCAAGAGTACTGTGATCAGTGATTGGATGTGTTCTTTTACTAAATACAGTGACATTGAAACTAAGAATTCTTGTGTTATCTTTATCTCATATATCATGTGTTTATTGGTAATCTCACATATTATGTTGTAATTGAAACAATAAATGGAAGCAATGAGATGATGTAAGGGAGATAAATCCACCGCGCTTATAGAATAGTAAAGGGGGACAACTCTTTCAACATTGACTGTTTGCCTCTGATAACGGAGCAAAACGTTTTTAGGCATCGCCATTTCATAACCTGAAGTATATTTAATTATCATTGTAACTCATTCCGTCATCATTTTGTTTCCGCTCATTTACTCTTTAATAAATACAGATATGGGTAGATAATGGTAGAACATTGACGTGCATACTAATTACAGGTCATTCATAAATCAATAAATCACAATTTTTTATCAAAACCTTTTGATACTCCACACGTCAGTTTTCTTCACCCCTTTAACGAGTTGGTTAAATTACCATTGCTTGTCTCAAAGTATTCAGGTGTAATCATTTTAGTTTTGACTTTACTACACTATTTATCTTGGTTACCTTGGTTACGCACGTTGGGTACCGTTAACATTTACTGTCAACATTCTGGAAGCAACCTGACATTTAACACTTAAATAGACATGAAGAGAGTCTTCGTGATATTCACCGGATGTAGGCAGTACCTCAGGGAGTCGCTTATCTCGGTTTTGGTGGGTGTGTTTGTGTGTTTTGGAAGGGGGTGTCGCTTTTTACGTTTGTTATGTGTGTGAATGTGTGTGTGGGTTGGGGCGGGGGACTTACACCCAGTAATGTACCTTCTCCAGTTCTATAGATCTTACACCTAGTGATGTCCCTTCTCCAGTTCTACAGGAGATCTTACACCCAGTGATGTCCCTTCTCCAGTTCTACAGAGAATCTTACACCCAGTGATGTCTCTTCTCCAGTTCTATAGATCTTACACCCAGTGATGTCCCTTCTCCAGTTCTATAGATCTTACACCTAGTGATGTCCCTTCTCCAGTTCTATAGATCTTACACCCAGTGATGTCCCTTCTCCAGTTCTATAGATCTTACACCCCGTGATGTCCCTTCTCCAGTTCTATAGATCTTACACCCAGTGATGTCCCTTCTCCAGTTCTATAGATCTTACACCCAGTGATGTCCCTTCTCCAGTTCTATAGATCTTACACCTAGTGATGTCCCTTCTCCAGTTCTACAAGAGATCTTACACTCAGTGATGTCCCTTCTCCAGTTCTACAGAGAATCTTACACCCAGTGATGTCCCTTCTCCAGTTCTACAGGAGATCTCACTCTGCCATGTTTCCGATCTCAGAGCGCTCTCTCCCTACATAGCTTTGACAACTCTATATCATATTGTCGACAACAGATATCATTCAATATTCCACGTAACTTCTCGATGATGAAGTTCGCCACAATGCTCGGACCAGTTGGTACTCGCGTGAAGTGGGCATTCGCACATGACGTAACGTAATGATCAATGCCACGTGATGCGGACCCTAGGGGCCTGAATAGGGCCGCATCAGGTCAATACGAGGACAGATTTACAATATCGGGATGCGGAGTGGTCATAAAGCCAATTATTTACCGACTTAATTAATAAACACCAAGGAATCACTTTAAATACTAACGAATTCATACAACGGAGAAGCAAAAAGTGAATGAGACAGATTTATGGATAATCAAGAAAACAAGCGAGAATATATTATGTGTTATTTCACGTTTTACAAAAAGATTAAACAGAAAAAAGGTTGGTTGATTTTGTTGGCATCGTCGTTCGCACGATATGTCGATAAAGTCATCAGCTAAAAACCTGTCAGCTTCCAGATCTGCTAGGAAACCCCACCAGGAGAAACCGTTCTGAGACTTGACAACACCACATATCATGTATTCATATATATGGAATTCGTGGTCGATAAAAAATATATCGTTATCCGAACCCCCATGGTCATCACACTGAATACCGTTATGTTCCGATGATTGGCGTGGTGTACCACTTTTCTATTGTAGAGGAGATGGTATTGACGCTGGTTATAGCTACTTCATGATAAAACCCAAGTCCAGCGTACAACTCATTCAATAACTAATCCTCCAAATTACCTATCATGTGTCTACGTATACACTGTAATTCTCCCAGCTAAGTAGCACGTGCTGTGATGCCCACTACTTGACCACAAATGACCCGTGGTTGTAACAAGTGAAATCCCCCGAGAGGCTTACCGTCAAAGTGGTAAGGACCCGCACGTGCCTGGAATACCTACTGATCACCGCAATCGCCTTATCGGCAGGTGAATACGACTGCAAAAGATAATCTAGGTCTGCTTCTTTTGAAGTATAAGACGGTATCAAAAGGCTTACTCCGGGGTCTGTTTAGATCTTGTTCTGTAAAATGTATTAAAGGAAATTAGGACACCCAACCCGTGGGCGAAAATTCGAGGAAATGACAAAACTGCGAAAACGTATATTCAATATTAAGTATTTTGACGATCTGTCTTTATTATAGTCCTTAGTTCAACGGTGGTATATCCTCTGTTAATAGGTTGGGATAAGCAGTTTGTTAGTTAATATGGGAACCCGCGTCGTTATCGTAATTGCAGGCAACATAGACTTGAAGATCTTCTTCTCTAGAACGGTGATGGCAGAGATGAAGTAAGTAAAATAGAGGTCAGTCAGTACATACACAAACGAGGTCTGGTAATGCCCAGTTGTCATGTGTAACTATGATTGCAACACAGAAAATTGTAGATAAGTTTTAGAAGTATCGGTCTGTAAGTGGTATTGTTAATCACTGACAGATGCAATTATTTCTGCAATAACGTGCATGCTTCTTGATATAGCAACAATGCATTATTAGCGTCACATTGTTATGTAAGGGGACATAAGTAACATTGTGACACATTGTGTACACGACGGTTCTAGCTGACGAGGCACTTACTTCAAAAACGTATGAAACAGATACAGCATATTACATTAGCTAAGTTAGAGTTAAGTATTCTTAAAATGCCTTCATTAGGGACTTAACACCGGTTCGCTATTATAACGCGCTACTGAACGAGTTTTTCAGGGTTTTCGATAAGGCTGTCGGTGCATAATGTAGAACGCGATTTATATTTTATCAGATTTGTGAGTCAAATAGATTCTTTTGAAATCAAGATCCTTAACAAGTAAAGCACGTATACAACTCCAGCACGCACGAGTTATACCTGGGTTTAAACAGCTCTCTCCACAATATATCGAAGTTTTACGCGTTTGTTAGCTTATCTCCCCTTAGTTTGAAACTTTTGAATCGGACATATATCCAAGAAATCCAAATTGTAAAGAAAAATCATTCCAACATTCTATCTGATGGATGCCTTCTCGGACCCTGAGGGTACAGGTCAATGTCAGTTGACCTCCAAGATGGCCTCCATACCGACTACATGTTGGTATGTAAACAATCCTGGATCGTAACAAGTGACTCTCACGGGACGTGACGTCAGGTCAGTATGGGGCCAGCGCGTGCCACGGATATCAACCGATCTCGTGATCGATAAGGTAATACACTAGCCAGTGCAAGCTATGTAAATAAGCCACCTTGGGCTCATCAGGAGCCGAGAGCGAACGATAAAGGGGCCATAATCTGGGGCTGTAGAGGATGGGAGGGAGATAAAGTGATCGTAACTTGAAACTGCAAATGGTTTATTTGTCTTTTCGGTGATAAAACCTGCATTTATCCGAATTTGTTTAGAAAAGTAAAAAAAACCAAGTAATTACGAACATCTACGCTATTTACAAACACGGACTAAGAACATATATATGTCCACGTTACAAGTCATAAAATTACAATAATTTTTTTAATCATCTGTTTTAGAATATTTTCGTTAATAGAAGAAAAGAAATAAAAGGAGAGAAAGAAGAAGAAGAGGAGGAGAAGAAGGAGGAGGAAGAGGAGGAGGAGAAGGAGGAGGAGGAGGAGGAGAAGGAAGAGGAGGAGAAGGAAGAGGAGGAGAAGAAGGAGGAGAAGGAGGAGGAAGAGGAGGAGGAGGAGAAGAAGGAGGAGGAAGAGGAGGAGGAGAAGGAGGAGGAGGAGAAGGAGGAGGAAGAGGAGGAGAAGAAGGAGGAGAAGGAGGAAGAGGAGGAGGAGGAAGAGGAGGAGAAGAAGGAGGAGAAGGGGGAGGAGGAGAAGAAGGAGGAGAAAGAAGAAGAAGACGAGGAGGAGGAGGAGGAGAAGAAGGAGGAGAAAGAAGAAGAAGACGAGGAGGAGGAGGAGAAGAAGGAGGAGAAGAAGGAGGAGAAAGAAGAAGAAGAGGAGGGGGAGAAGGAGAAGAAGGAGGAGAAGAAGGAGGAGAAGAAGGAGGAAGAGGAGGAGGAGAAGGAGGAGGAAGAGGAGGAGGAAGAAACATAGAGTGACAAATATTTTGACCCTCGCATAAGCAACACCAGCCGCATTAACGTCGTACGGAGAAACGACATCAACGACATGAATAAAGAGGATGAAATGAAAGGAAATGACGACGAGGAAATTTGAGCCGAAGTTAGTCAGCATATAAGATGGCACTGTTGGGGAAGGATACCGCGAAAAGAGTAAAAACGAATTGGACGATTAAGTACAATAATCAGTAGGGGACAGGCATGTCTCTGTAGGTAAATTCAGATATATGTTACACATGGAAAACATTCTGTCGGATCCAGTGGGACATTTAAATAGGAAGTTGTTACAAATTATCTGGCTTGTGTATACCTATTTGTCTGTCTACAAATCACATTTGTTTTGTAATATTAAGAGGAGAAGATTTCATAAGTTGTATGACATGTACATTATCCTTTTTTCCATTTGGATTTATGCTTAAAGTCAAAAGTCACGGATAAGATCGCAATCCCAGAGTAACTGGGTGCAATGAGATAAGCGAGGGTTAAGCACAGTAGAAGACTGAGGACAAGGACAAGGACGAGAACAAGTAGCAAATAGAACCAACAGGACCAAATGAATGTCAAGGTCGAATGGAGCCTGATAAATATCCCACCCGATACCTCGGTGTG